TACAAACACGTTTTAGCTAAACCAAAATAAATCACTCATAGACCAAAATAAAATGTCCACATAGGGGTTTGCAATGGTTTAACTAAACTGGTGCAAGTTGGTATGTAGACGAGGCCTAAGTCCTGCTCAAGGCACTCCAAGGAGACTCCTGTAACATTTGCCTAAGGCTGGCCCAGAGGGCTTAAAATGAGCCTGGATGCTTGAAGTCAGGAGTACTGAGCTTTGACTTATTGGCTGACGCATATCCTCTGAAGAAGCCAAGCCAGGTGGTGTTGAGAGGGAACCAGTAGCTCTCCAGATAGCTGTTATCAAAGCCACTGACTCCAAGCAAGGCTTGTGATTTTCCCCACCTGCATTTGTGACAGAGATGCAAACAGTAATTCTGGATTCTGGTATATCCTCAGCAATCTATCCAAGTCACTCTAGGTCCTTTGCGAGACTGTCACAAGGCCTTCAGTAACATCGCCAATGCATTCCTTTTAGCCCTTTGTTGGGAGCAGTTAGAGTTCTCAACAAATTCATAATGCTTTTTAAACCAAGGCAGCACCCTCAGTGCAATAAGGTCTGGTACTAAGCACTTCTTATTTTGTTTGTATTTCTTGACAATTTCGGGATGATTTCTTGATTGCCTTCATTTCTGTCCAATTCACCTTGAGCTTCTCAAGCCAAGGTCTGCCAAATAATGATGGATACTTTCTTTCAATCACATACAAGGGTAAAATGACTGATTGTCTATCTAATTGAACTTCCACCTGAAGTTCCCCTTTTGGGACTAACTTTTCACCAATATAGGTCTTCAGAACCTTGGAGGTTTCTTCCAGAGGAACTTGTGACAATGTCTGGTGAAAGGTAGATGCAGAAATCAGTGAGATGGCAGCTCCAGTATCAAACTCCATTCTTGTAGGAACTTCTTCAATCGAGAGTGTGATCCAGATGTCATATCTAACTCCAGCTTGCAATAACCCGTGTAGTGCTGGTTCTTGATCAGTGTCATTAGAGCTCGTACCATTTTCCATATTATGAATTCCCAGCTTCCATCCTTTTTTAGGTTCATCCTTCATAGGTGTCTTCTTGGATGTACAGTTACCCTTTGTTGCTGAACTGTGTGGCAGGTCACAGTAATGTGTCCTTTCTTCTGGCATTTTCTGCAAATAACCTGGCGTGCCCAGCAATCCTTTTCAGCATGAGTAGTTTGTGCACCATGGGTACATGGAAAATCCTTACGTTCCCATGATCCTCTGTCTTGCCGATGTAGGAGGTAACTTTCCAGTTCACACTAAATTCCAAATAATTCTTCCCTAAGGTTTCCATGGCAACTGCTACTTCAACAGCCTTCTTGAATGTAAGTGCTAATACAGTCGGTACCTGGTCATTGCATAATCCAAAGACTAATTGGTCACGCAGGGCATCACTTAATGTTTGTCCAAACCGACAATGCTCTGACAACTTCCTTAGAGCAACAGTAAACTGTGCTACCAACTCTCCACTTCTCTGATTTCGCTGATGAAATCGATATTGTTCTGCTATCATCGATGGGATAGGAGAAAAATATTTGTGCATTGCTGCTGTAATTGCAGTGTACGTGGCAGTTCTGGGAACAGTTGGAGACAATAGGTTATGCAGCAGTCCATATGCCTTTGGACCCATTATTGTCAGCAAGGTTGAAACTCTTTGTCCGTCAGGAATGGTGCTGTAGGTTACAAATTACTCAAAACATCGAGGTACACCACCCATGAGTCACGGCTGTCATCAAATTCATCAACATTGCCCACAAAAGGTGCCATTTCACTGCTGTCATTTTGAATTTTATGCCTCCTGGAAGTCTCTTCCACAGGGAAATCCCCCCCCCCCCCCCCCTTTTTTTTTTTTTTTTTTTTTTTAAACTGTGCACTATCCTCACTGGATCACCCTCTGTTGGCTGTGTGCTTATACTGCAAAATGCAGAATTCTTCCTTTTGGCTGCACTGGGATCCCTCTGCTGGCTATAGACTCTCAGTGCAGGCTCAGCCGTTTCTCTCTCTACCTGATTGCACACTGGTCAACAAAGATAGCTGCTTCCCCATCTCGTCTCTAAGCAGTTCCAGCAGTAATTGCAGTACTTTTATCTTGGGTTGTATCTTTATTTGCCTAATTCCTCCTCTCTAGCTGGCTGGTTCACACTGTCCCAGAAGCAAAAACAGCAAGCTGTCACCCAGTGCCTCTAAGTGAATTTTGTCCCCTTTTTCAAAGTCTTATTCTTTGCTTACTTTTTCTTGTTGTTGTTCTATTCAGGCAATGGAAGCACTGGACACTTGTTGGGATAGAAGGTCCTTGCTGCCACTGTTGTATTTTTGGACCCAGCAAAGAAGGAGTTAGATACAGACATAGAGGGAGCTGATGGACACACAGCTGTCAAGCTGTGCTCCCTTTATTGTTCTAGCTGCAAAAGTGAAACTAACAATAACATGCTTTGCAGTGGGGAGGGGAGAGTGCTCAAATATTTAAAGGGACAGGACATCACAGATGATATGTAGGCTCCATCCAAATTATCCTTTCTATAAATTACTATTTAGTTCTGGAGTTATCCCAAAATAAAAGTGCTCACTAAAGTAAGGCTATTATTTATTTAGCTAAAAAGAACAGATGCCCATCAGGTACACAAATCATATTTTAGATAATTGTTCATAAAGGTCATTAGGTTGAAAAGTTTTGTTTTTCTGTTTTCTTGGAAATGTATAATCCTTTATTCCTGGAATAAAAAGCTACTGACTTATGGGAAAATTCTTCAAGGGAGTAGATTTTGGGCCAAATCCTGGTCACAATGAAGCCTGTTGCAAAACTTCCATTGCCATTGACTTGAGTGGGACTAGGAGTTAGCCCTTAATTCTTGCACATAGAGATGGCAGAGCTAGTGGCTGATGTGTCTAAAGTTCAGCTCTGCTGCCATTTTGAATTTGATTTGCTTGATTTATTTTAATCTCTCTAAAAGTGGAAATTCCTTTCTTGAGCTAAAATAGAGTATAGTATCTTATCCGGATGTGGCAAAATTGCTGCACCATGATGTCCCCTCCTGGCTGGCTGTGGCACTACAGCAACTTTTGCCTCAATTTCCCCCACCTTTCAGAGCCACAGTGTCTTTTATCAAAATCCAACAAAAATATATATATAACCAACTCAGCAGGCAATCACCTTGGTGAAGGAGTGCCTCTGCTGCTGCTTCTCCCTGGTTCAGTCAGTCTCCTGATCCAAGGCACACTCCTCCCATTACTCAGGGTTTCCCACAGGCTCCAGTTCATCAGGGTCTCCATCTTACTCAGGCTTCCAGTTCATCCCTGGAGAAGAGTATCTGCTCTTTCTCAATCTCAGCCTTTTTTGCAGGCTGCTTCCCAGAGAGAGGGCACTTCCTATCTTTTCTCTTCTGGTTCTTCCCCAGCAGGGCTCACTCAGCTCTTTATAGAGCCAAAACTCTTCTCTACCCCAGTTGGGCTTTATTTCCAATTAGTCCTGGCTCACCCTCCAGGTGCACCCAGGCTGGTTAATTGGTCTGAGGCCTATATTAATCCTTTTACAACCTGTGTGGGATAAACACCCCATCACAAAGGAGTTTACATTTTTAGATTAAAAATATGTTTTTACAGGATCTAAGTTAAAACGATAATTTGTTAAATAGTTTTATAATTCTAATTCTAAAATAAGAGCGAGTCAGATACTTTTTTATTACTTCACTTACAAATATTCTGTGTGATATTTCTTATTGTATACTTTGCACAGTACATGTAAACTATTTGTTGTTAATATTCTGGGAAAGAAAAATTAATCAAGTAAGTAAAAGCTATATATTTTATGAAAACAGAATGAGCACATTCTCCTGTTATTTCACTTTCGGTGCTTTCCTTTTCAAATATTTCTTCTGCATTGAGCTATACAGGCTTTAATGTCAGTGATCATTTGAGGTTGTTTGCTGTTTGAGGTAATAACGATCCTATATATACTTCAAGGCCTATCACTAAACTGTTTCTGTTCAGTCTCAGACTTTATTAGCCCAGGATGTGGTAATTATTGAATTAACAGGAAGCTCTCTCAAGTTACTATATTGCCCTTTCTTCTTTTTGCCTTTGTCCTCTGAGAGAACTGTCTAGAACAAAGTCCGACTCAGCTTCGAACGCTGTCCACTATGTCACTCCATTTAACTTTAGTCTTCCTGCTATCTCCCGCCCATAAAAAAAATCTTATCCTACTTTCTTCCCCAATTAAGAGCAGCTCCTTTAAAATTAAGTCATATTTAATGTCTGAAGTTATGTGGGCTGATATGGTAGTGAGGAAACAAATGTTGAGAGTAGCATGTTTGTAGTCAGCATGTGGCTAAGGAGTTTTGAGGAGCGACAGTGATAGGAGTGTGATAGTAGCCAGAGTTGAGTGATTTGGGTAGGACATATATAATTTGAATATATTTGTAGTATTAGCATGTGTTCATGTACTTGAAGACTGTATTGTAATGCATTCACACCGGGGAGCATAGCAAACTTAATGTTGGCATTTCCTGATTTTTGAGTGCTTAATCATGAAACCCATATAATTTTTGTTTGGAATATGTATTTAGGATGTTTGAACTAGTAACTGAGAATTGTGAATTTTAGTCTGTTTTCTTCCATGTGATGTCTGACATCTGACTAACAAGTCCATGTTAGTATGCTTGACTGCTTGTTCCGTCTGTGAATAAATGTAGAATTAATTTTGACATAATTCTGGCATTTGTTTTACAACATACAGCTAGTTCTCCAAATTGCTTTTGGTCCCAGCTATGAAAGCAATAAGGGGACATCCCTTCAGATTTGCAGCATTCTTAATCCACATGAACATAGTACACTTACACGATGCTATTGACAATCACATGCAGTTTGGAAAGAAAATTCAGTGATAGGATGATTGATTCACTAACTTTCTCGCAGTATTAAATCAGGATTTTCTTTTAAAAGAAAATGGTCTCAGCTTTCTCTTCCCATATACACTTTTTTTTTAAGGCTGCAGAATTTGAAGAAAGAAAAATGCTAGAAAAGCGTCAGGAAGAAGAAGATAATGTGGCTGAAATTTCCAACCTCCTTCGAGGAGACTTGCTTTCTGAAAACCCAGAACAAGCAGCCAGTTCGTTTGGGCGACATCGTGTGATTACTGATCGATGGAAAGGAATGAACCAGGATCAGTTGATGGCAATACGTTACACTCAACAGCAACAAGTTCTGGAGAAACTGGTATTCAAACCCATTTGCTTATCTGTATTATTAGCTGGAGTAGTAGTATAGGCAGGGCTGGTAGCACCGCCAATTATTAAGGTGGCTTGACACTTCACATTATACGATCCTGTTTTCAGTAGCTTATAGCTTCGTAACAGCCAGACTTCAGCTGATTGGTCTGAATTTTTCCATGCAACACGTCTTCTTCAGGATGGATTTGTCTGGAAAAGTTCAACCAAAATGGTCCAGACATTTCCGAGAACAAGGCTAGAGAAAAATATGTTGTTTTGCCATGTTAAATTCTGGCAACATTTTCTTTTAGAAGCTCTAGTGCCCCCATGCTTTGTAGTGGGGACTTGAAATTTGGCAGGGGTATTCTTTGTGTTAGGGATGTTCCTTTTGCTGTTCCTATGAAAATCCACCCACATTTGGCCAAGTTATAAACCTTTGAAAAATCTTTAACAGCCAAAATCTGTGAAGATTCCATTCTCCCTGAACATGCTTCATCCCCTCACAACTCCTAGTGCTGATCAGACTGCATATGCACCAGCACCACATTGTGAATGAGCAGGTTTCAGCTGAGGGCTCTGGGAGCTGGCCTCTCCTTGGAATTGCTGTTCCCAGATGTTCTGGGCTGGGGTAGGGCCATGCACTAGATTGAATTCAAGGAGTCTGACTCTCCTGTTCTTTCAATAACTGTCCTGCTGGCACCAAGGAAGCATGGAGTAGTAAGCTGTCTAATTAGAATGCAAAAGGACAAGAGCCAGACTGGAGGGGAGAGAAATTAGTACATTGGAACAAGGAACCTGGTGAGATTGGGACTGGAGAGTGGGAGAGAGTAAACCTGTGACTGGGGGCTGGAGGAGAGACTGGGAGCTGGGGGTGGAAGACTGGGACAGGCTGGGCAAGACAATTGAGGCTGGGAGTGAGAGCCAGGGGGAGACTGGGACTGGCTCAGGAAGGACACTACAAGTGGGGGCAGGAGGGGAGGCTGGAATTGGGAGTTGGTGAAGGAAATGGTGGAGGGGACTGATAGCCAGGTAAGGGGAGGGGAACACTGGATCTGATAAGAAGCTGGAGAGATATAGAGAAACTAGGAAATTTGGACAAGGAGGCTGGGACTGTAAACTGGTGGGGGAATATGGGCAGGGTAGGGAGGAAAGCCAGAATGCCGGAGGAAACCCCATGAGAAAATGAATAATTCTCTTTTCAGAGAAGGGTTTAAATAGTGTGCAGTAAATAGGGCATGTGGTCATACAGTGAACAAAGAGGAGAAAATACTGAAATTGCTGCTCACTGAGTGATCACAATCCATTTTGTGCACTGAATGAAAGAGGGGTCCTTCCGAAAAAAATCATCTTTAATTACATAATCACATACTATCCTAATTCATATACATAAGGGGGCAAGTTAAGGTTCAAAAGCAACTTTAATTCTGGCATATCCTAACTTTTGAGTGCTTGACATTGCAACCTTAATAATGTTCTTTTAATATAGTCTTCTGCGTGTAATTTTTTAGAGACTGATCTGTCAATAGATACATTGTTTTAAATTCCAGGAGCTGTGTTTCATACCAGCGTGTTAATGTTCATCATAAAGGAGCTAGTTAATATGACAAGGAGTTGTCCAACTTTAATTTAACTTAATTTTTTAAGTTTCACCAGTCCTGAACAACTGTGTTATGTCTTTTCACAGAGACACCAAAAGCAGTTTAATTTTGATTGACAGATGTACACAGTATAGAGCTGCCTCTTCTGAATCTGTCTAAAAGGTGGTATCAAAGCTGTGATGCACAAGGGGAATATGATTGGAGGTAGTGATAGACAAATTTGTAAATATAGGGTGTATTGGAGGAGAAGGAAGTTTCTGGGTCAAAAATTATGCCAAGACAACAGATAATGGGCTTGATTTACTCTGAAATCCACCTGGAGGAGGAAGTGCACAGTACTACAACTACACTGCAACCCCCTTTCTACAAGGAGACACTGAGCTGCCAGCACAACCTCAAATGTAGATAGCACTGGCCATGAAGAGAACATGGCCAGTCTGACCAGATTTGCACCAGTTTAGTTAATCTTCTCAGATACCATCCTTTGGTGAGTCTCCTACAGAGAGCTTTGACTGCATTAAAAGCTTTCTTCCCCTGAGTATAACCCCCTAGGGGAGGGCGTAATGAAACCACTGCCTGCCTTCCCCTGGGGATGAATTTCCTCCAGGACACATCAACTACTGCTGGTGGAGGAGGGTGCAATGTTCATCCTTCTGCCATAGCAGGGATGAAACAAGCCCGTTAAAGACAAATGGGTTCATCACATGAGTGAATTTGCTAATAAGATTATTTAAATATTGTTTTATCTGTGATTGTGAAGAGAAAGCAAACATTTCTTTTATTCCTCCAGAGGCTGCAGGAGGAAGAACGGCAAAGAAATGCAGAGTGGGACAGGCAACGTATACAGGCCGCCAGAGCACAACTTCTTTTTGAGCGGCATCAACAGCGACTAAATCGAGAACTTCGCAGAACTCTGGATAATGCTAATGCACAACTCTCCCAGGACCAGAAATCAAAGTAAGTGCACAGAGCGGTTAATCTATATCAGATAAACTCTTTCCCATTGACACAACAGCTTGGCATTATAAAATTGCTTAGCGAGCCTGCTGTACTTGTCATAAGATGTTTTGACATGGATTGCATTTTAAAAAATTGCAAGTTTAGAGCGAGTGTCTGAATTTTGTAGTATGAGGAAAACTGTTCCTAAGTTATACTGTTTGGAATAATGGCTCAAATACTGACAATTTCTGCTGAGGTCATTGTGTAAGTGTCACGTTATGTTCATTGCACATAGACAGCAGAATAAAGATAGAAAAGCGGGGAAAAGATTCATAGATTCCAAGGCCAGAAGGGACCATTATGATCATCTGGTCTGACCTCCTGTATTACACAAGCCATAGAACTTCCCAAAAATAATTCCTAGAGCAGGCGTAAGCAACCTATGGCACGTGTGCAGAAGGCGGCACGCGAGCTGATTTTCAGTGGCACTCACATTGCCCGGGTCCTGGCCACCGGTCCGGGGGGCTCTGCATTTTAATTTAATTTTAAATGAAGCTTCTTTAACATTTTAAAAACCTTATTTACTTTACATACAACAATAGTTTAGTTACCTATTATAGACTTATAGAAAGAGACCTTCTAAAAACGTTAAAATGTATTACTGGCACACGAAACCTTAAATTAGAGTGACTAAATGAAGACTCGGCGCACCATTTCTGAAAGGTTGCCAACCCCTGACCTAGAGCATATGTTTTAGAAAAACATCCAATCTTGATTTTAATATTGTCAGTGATGGAGAATCCTCCATAACCCTTGGTAAATTGTTCCAATGGTTAATTGCTCTCACCATTAAAAATTTACACCTTATTTCCAGTCTGAATTTGTGTAGCTTCAGTTCCAGCCACTGGATCATAGGTGCCAACCCCATGGGTGCTCCAATGAGCTAATCAGGGGCACTCCCAAACAGTTGATCGGCGGCTGCAGCCAAACAGCTGTTCGGTAGCTCAGGAAGGGCTTGGGGAAGGGTGGAGAGCAGCAAGCTGTGGGGGTCTTGGGAGGGGGTGGAGCGGGGGCAGGAAAAGATGAAGTGAAGGTGGGGCATTGGAAGAAGAGGCTGAGTGGAGGCGGGCCCTCGGGGTGGAGCACTCCCAGGGAAAACTAGAAGTCGGCACCTATGCACTGGATCATGTTAAACCTTTTTCTGCTAGATTGGAGAGCCCGTTATTAAACATTTCTTCCCCATGTAGATACTTTCACACTGTAATCAAGTCACCCCTTAACCTTCTCTTTTGTAATAGTCAGAAAAGGGTAATAAATACAATGAAAGTATTCTTAATACTATATATGTCTACATGATTCAGCTCACTCTCTTGGAATCAAAAAGGATGGGACTCCATTGAGTTCAGTAGAGCTATGCCAACAACAGCTCAGGATAAGACCCAATGGCAGAGTTCAGCCATAAAGAACCATCAAGTATTGTCATAAACTAGCTTAACAGTGGACAGATATGTATGCTTGCTGTGAGGATAAAGAAAAACTAAAAAGAGCATGTTTAAAAAAAAAAAAAAATCACTGCAAGCCAGTGTCAAAATCCCAGTCTTTAACTATTTGATTTTTCAGTGCATGCCTAGATTTTGTGCAAGAAATTCCTGTACCTGACAATTTCCTGGTCTTAAAACAATATGAAAGAATTCTAAGGCTATATTAATACTGTTTTCTCAACACTGGCATAGTGACATTTTGGGAACATGATTTTAGGGGGGGGGGGGAAGAATTTTTATGTCAACATGAGAAAATTGAGCTATATTTATGTGTTTTGATTTAGTATTCAACTAAAATATGTAGTAATGTATATAGTGTAATACATTTGTACAGGATTGTGTATTTCACATTATTTTTTTTTATTTTTAAAAATGTTCAGAAATTTAAAACATTTACTAATTGAGTCTATTTGATTTATTTCTAGAAAAATTTATCTTCAGGAGGAAGTGTATTCAAATTTTCCAACAGGCCAATATTTTACACAGTTTAATACAACTAGCCGGTGACATATGAGACACATCCACTCTCTGAAATATAAATATATGTAAGGTTTATAGAAATATTAAAGTTTGATTAACTTTCACTGCTTTTCTACGTTTTTCCCCAAATTTCCAGTTAAGATATTTGTGCATTAAAACAAACCCATATTGTCCTGATGGCACATACTTGTAAGTCATAAGCCTGATGATTGTTATTCCTTGTAATTAATGAGAAATATAGAGATTGCTGCTAATTCATGGTTTTGGTTTGGGGGATATTTTTATAATTAACATTTCTCAGGAGGAAAAGGAAAATAACTGCAAATAACACTGAAATGATTATTTGAGTGCTAATTTAGAGAAGTTATTGGACCAAATCAATTCCTGGTCTGATTCCATCCCAATGAAGAATTTGGCCCATTGTGGGATATTTTTTTTTAATTTGTATTTCAGATTTTTTCACTACTCATTTTTACTGCATTGAAGTTCATATTTTGACTGAAACCTTCCTTTTACAGGTTACAGAAATATTGAGATTACAGCATGATTGTCAGATAACTTAAAAAAGTAAAACAAAACCTGATCTTCATAAATGCTTTTCAGAGACCATACTCTATTTTAAAATGCAGGAGGAAGTATGGGAGGAGTAATTGCTATTGTTGAGAGCAAAGAAAATGAAATGTTTCTTAATATTTATCCATAATTTTTATATATATAAATAAATAGAATTGAATTAATTTTATTAGTACTCCCAATTAAAGTTATGTGCAGTCACTATATCCATTGTTAGTTTTTCAACAATAAAACACTAAGGTCACTGGGTTGGGGTTTTTTAAGTGTTTTCAGTGCTTGTTGAAAGGTGAAAGATTTGATAGAAATGGAACTTGAAATAACCTGATGAGCTGCTGAACAGATGTTACAAAGGGAGCAGCACTGCAAGCTTGTTCTCCATGCCCCCACAAAAATGCACTGGGCCTAGATAACCATCCTGGAGGCCACCCTTATCTGGAATAGAAGGGAAATATGTTAGCTGGAACTATTTTCAAACCTTGCTGTTTCCAGAAAGCACTAATAGGTTCTACACTGGCTTCTTTGGCTAGCATAAACCAGTTAACCATGTTATAAACTATTTTAGAACACAATTTTCTGGAAAACGTTTTATTTAAAAATACTTCTGACTAATATGATTTCCCCCCAACACAGGGCCAGGGCGTGAGCTGCTGCAACCTCTGGGTCCACATTGCCAGGATATTGGGACCATTGGTTTCTGTAAATGCAGATCTGCAGCTTCTCTTCTGACCTAATCTTCCATACTGGGCATATGCAGGGCTAGCACCGAAAACTTTCCTCCCAAAGTGCAGGGGGAGTGCAGGGACTCCTGTGCAGCTGCTCAGCAAGCAGATCCTTCAGACAGTCCCTATGTGGAGATAAAGTGGTGCAGTTCTCCTCACTAACATGATTTTCACACCTATATTTCACATGCGTCAATGAGAGTACCTCATATAACACTTTTAATTTACACTTCTTAGGGCTGTTCAAGCGATTAAAAAAATTAGTCGTGATTAATCTCACGATTAAAAAAATTAATCGTGATTAATCACATGATTAATCGCTCTATTAAACAATAATAGAATACCATGTATTTAAATATTTTTGGATGTTTTCTACATTTTCAAATGTATTGATTTCAATTAAAACACAAAATACAAAGTGTACAGTGCTCACTTTATATTTATTTTTGATGACAAACATTTGCACTGTAAAAAACAAAATAAATAGTATATTTCAATTCGACTAATACAAGTACTGTAGTGCAGTCTCTTTGTCATGAAAGTTGAATTTACAAATGTAGAATTATGTACAAAAAATAACTGCATTCAAAAATAAAACAGTGTAAAACTTTAGAGCCTACAAGTCCACTCAGTCCTCCTTCTTCAGCCAATCGCTAAGACAAACACGTTTGTTTACATTTGCAGGAGATAATGTTGCCCGCTTCTTGTTTACGTCACCTGAAAGTGAGAACAGACGTTCGCATGGCAATTTTGTAGCTGGCATTGTAAGATATTTATGTGCCAGATATGCTAAACATTTGTATGCCCCTTTATGCTACAGCCACCAGTCTAGAGGACATGCTTCCATGCTGATGACACTTGTTAAAAAATAATGTGTTAATTAAATTTGTGAATAAACTCCTTGGAGAAGAACTGTATGTCTCCTGCTCTGTTTTACCTGCATTCTGCCATATATTTCATATTATAGCAGTCTCGGATGATGACCCAGCACATGTTCTTCATTTTAAGAACACTTTCACTGCAGATTTGACAAAACAAAGAAGGTACCAATGTGAGATTTCTAAAGATAACTGCAGCACTTGACCCAAGGTTTAAGAATCTGAAGGCCTTCCAAAATCTGAGACGGACGAGGTATGGAGCATGCTTTCAGAAATCTTAAAAGAGCAACACTCCAATGCAGAAACTACAGAACCCGAACCACCAAAAAAGAAAATCAACCTTCTGCTGGTGGCATCTGACTCAGATGATGAACATGTGTCGGTCCACACTGCTTTGGATCATTATCGAGCTGAACCCGTCATCAGTAATTCAGCTCAGATTTCTGTGGAACTGAGGGCTTTGATTATTTCTCAAACTTAATGCTCTTCATTATGGTTATTTACCAATTTCCCCCCCCCCCCCCCCCCCCCAAAAAATCCTGGCTTATTGAAAAAAGCCAGTATTTGGGTTTTACCAATTTTTTTAACCCAAATTTGGGCTTTTTCAAGACCTAGGAATTTTTCTCACGGGAAGCGGACTGGGCTGCACTGAAGGGTTGGTGGGGTCAGCAGAGGGCTGTGTCTGGCGGGGGGTGTCAATACTCACAGGGTGCAGCCTTCTGCTGCCGTCTTGACTCCAGTCCTTCAGCACAGTTCCATTTGCTTCCTCTGTATTGGGGGGAGTGAGACGGGAAGGGACCCAGGTCCCAGCAGCCAGCACTGCTCAGCCATTGAGATGATGGGCCCACAGGGAGTGGAGCTCTCTATTATTTTCCACCTTGCAAACATTTTTAATGTTCATAACAAACACTACAAATCACCTTCAAAAAGTTGTACTTTATTATAATTTCACTCACATTAGTGTCTTTAATGTCCCTTCAGCCAAGATTCTTGTAGCCAAAGAGGAGATTAGATCCATAGATGAATACAGATAGGCGAGTAAAGATGATGAAGAAAAGCATAAATGTGCCCAATAGAATATACATGCAAATTAATGGTGTTAGTGCTTATTATGGAGGTAATGTGGAAATGGGAGCAATACCTTCACTCTAACAAAAAAGAAAAAAACAATGCAGTTGTTAATGAGTCAATATAAAAATTCTCACTAAATTCAATGGGTTTTGGATCAGACCTTAGACCTTTAATCTATACATACAGTTTTTGTACTGACTAGTTGTTTGGTTTTTTTTGTTTGTTTTTTGTTTTTTAACCAAAATAGTTAAATCGGTACAACCTTTACTATGAATGTAGTAATACCAGTGTAAAGATGCCTGATACCAGCATAGTTTATTTCCTTTAATGTACAAGATTAAGCTGTATTGGTATCCACATTAGGCGGTTGTACTGTTTTAACTATGCCAGTTTCAAGCCAATATAGTTAAAGTGGTACAAAAATTGTATGTAGACCAGCCTTTTCAATTACCAGCTTGTCCTCTATAATACCTTTTGCAAGTTGGCGAGGTATAAATTACGTTCCCTTTCATGTGAATATGAGTTGGCTAACTACATATATGGAAATATATACAGAGGCGAGATCTGTTGATCTATCTGTCTAAGTACTTATGTGCCCCATCTCTGTATTTCCATTCCATGGACCGCTGAGCATCTAAATCAGTGATCCCCAACCTTTTTCGTCTGGCGGGCGCCAGATGACGAGCATCTGCTGAAATGCCACCAAGTGGCAACGTCAATAGGCGTTTCCGCTGAAATGCCGCCGACAAGCAGAGTCATCCAGAGGCGTCGCCGCCGAAATGCCGCCTCTGGATGACGCTGCTTGTCGGCGGCCAGTACGCGGGTGCACTTAGACACCCTGGCAGGCACCATGGCACCTGCAGGCACTGAGTTGGGGACCCCTGATCTAAATGATGTTTTGAAAATCACATATATTTGAGCTCCTTCCCTGCTTGTCCACTCTCAGAACAGTAGGGGTCATATTTTCTTGTTTTCATAACAAGCATTTTAGCCTGAGATGCTTTTTTAGAAGATGTTTGGCACTTCAGTGATTAGTATTAGGCATGGGAATCCAAAAAGATCATGAAATTAAGCATATTTCTGCAAATGCCATTTCACTAGTTAGGTGAAAGGGTCAAAATGTTAAGCGAGAAGAGAGACCTGTAATGATATCATTTTATCCTTGAAAGTTACAAAATTTGAAGGAGTTGTTTAGTGTTTCAGTTTCATCAGAACTAATTGTAACTTCAAGGAAATAAAAGCCTGCTGTTTGTTTGTTCCTTTAAAGGGACATGTAATTGAGTCATTAAGTTCTGATTGTGTAATGCTAAAATTTTCAACATATAGAACCTGATCCAAAGCATAGTAGGCAATGTTCACCATATAGTCTCATTCACCATAGTACTTTGAAATGTAACTGCAACCAAATATAATTTGAAAATATGTTATAAAAGAGTCAGATTTTGCTCACATTAATCATGCAAGTAGTTCCATTAACATTAGTAGTACTCATGTGACTACCAGAAGGAGGTTTAAAGTGTAGCTCCAACCAGATGAAAATATGTACTGAGAAGCATGGCAAATCATCACTGAAAATACCATGTGAGTCCAATGGGAACAAATAGACCTGACATAACATTGTCATAGAATTATGGGGCCTGATTTTGATCTCTCACTAATTTTACAGTGGTGCAACTCCACTGACTTCAGTGGAATGACCCTTAATTTGAACTGATCAGAATATGGTTCATTATGTCTATGCATCAATAAATCCAATATTCCATTGGGTCATAGAGTTTAAGGCCAGAAGGGACCACCAGATCATTCTATTATGTCATCAGTAGTTAGATGCTATGCAAATAGAGAACTGCCTGGTGAAACACGAAAGTCTGAATGATAATGCCTAAACCCATTCTCTGGTAAATTCAGCAGATTTCAATGTACTAAGTTAATAAATTGATGTGTGGTACAGGAGATACTTCTAGATAAGTAACAAAAATTCAGTTGTGGTTATTCATGATTAGCTCTCCAAATTAGTGCTTAAATATTACTATATTTCAGTGGTGCCCACACTTTTCCTGTTTTGCCCCCCTTAACAGTAATGGAATCTGTCTGCGCCTCCCCGCCATTACTGCACAGTTGGCTCAGCAGAGGAGCTTGGACTGAAGGCGGAGTTGGGGGATGAACTGGGGAAGGGGGAGGAGCTGGGGCTAGAGGCGGAGCTGACCTGGGGGAGAGAGGGAATGAGGGCGGGGCAGAGCTGGGCTGGGGGCAGAGTGGATCTGGGACTGGGAACGCAGCTGGGCTGGGGACAGAGCAGAAGGTGGAGCAGAGCTGTGACTGGGGATGGAGTTGGGCTTTGGGCTGGGTGGCATTCCTGCTCCTCCCCACAGGGGGGCTGGCCCATGCCCCACCGCACCCCCGAATGCTCCTCTGTGCCCCCTCGGGGACTGCGCCCCACAGTTTGGGGACCACTGCTATAATTATTTGGCTTTGTTAAGCATAAGCAAGCACTAGAGACTCATCTGTTGTTATTAATATTGAAGGGATATCTGATGTCTGCTATTATAAACAACAAGGGAAATAAGTGAGTTCATATGGTGGAAATTAATTGTAGGGTGGACGAAAAAATGCTACTCTTTATGTATAGTTATTTCTATTTTATGTATCATTTTTCCTGTGAAGATCTTGTCACATGTTCTCAGCAATGACACTCTTTTTATATTTATCCTTTTAGAATACTTCTTCAATTTGGCCCCAGTTCTCTACTACTTATTTTAAAATCAGAAAAGATAAAGCAAACCACTAATACAGTACAGTTATGGATGTTTTAGCCCCTAAATGTTATTTGTCATGTAAAGTAAAAGATTGATCTAATTAGTATATAATATGTATTTAAATTCATAGACCATATTTAACCTCAAAACTTTTAATGATACACTCTACAGCCATGCTGAATATCCAGAAATATGGTTGATGATATTCAACAAGACAAAGAAATTATTTATAGGTAGAGATGCATATAGATTTCTGTATAATCAGAAAAAAATCAGTTCAGGAATGGACAACCTAACTATCTATCCATTTTCTTAGTTTTGATATGTTAGGTCCAAATTACATTTTTCCACAGCTTTTATTAAAATGTTTTAACCATGAAGATAGTTAATCGGTGTATTTAATGCTAAGATAATAGTGTTCACTGAGATTCTGGTAAATGGTTTAAAATGTGATAGAAACAACAGTAGCCATATTGTTTCTCATTCCATGCTCATTCTTCACTTCTCTAGCTCACCATGTATTCATCAACATTTACT